CCTGGTTCAAAGTAAATGTCCCCCAAAGCCTTAAAGCTCCATTTTACAAACAAGCTGAACGTTAGAGAAGTTGAATAACTTGTCCAAGCTAATAACTGATATCAAACTTAAGTTTGATTTTAAAGACCATGATTTTTCAAATACAGTATGCTGCACATAATCCATTAAAACTAATCTAGTCTAAATCTTCCCAGGTCTCAGTTTTCTCCATGCTAATATGAATTCCTACGTTACATCCCAAGATATTAATTTCTCCATTTTCCAGCGCTCTGATGTCAGGCCATAACCTGCAGCCTGTCTTAGGAATCATTGCTACTTCATTTAAAACCATTTCAAAGCTAGTAAAATTGTACATCTGAGAAGAAGCAAAATGTTCAGATTAACGTATACCAAGGTGTAACGCAAAATGAAAACCCCAGAAGGTAGAACAGGTTTGATCTGACAGTGAATCGCACCCTGCCCCCCCCACACACACACACCTGCCTTGATGGCAATGACAGCCTTTCTCAGATCATATATCTAAATGTTTTCCCTGAATGGGTATTATTAGTCTCAAGTCTCAGAATAAATATCCTCACAGAATAAACATTCTCTCTTACTGTCAACTTTAAGTACAAGCAAAATCAACATTCTATTTTCTTCATTAAAATCATGACTGGCTGGATCTGGGGGTTTATACTGAAGATACTGCATTGCCTTGTATTTAATGAAAGCCAGTCTTACCCCTAAGCCATTGTTAAAGAAACTCCTACAGTCCCACCAGAACACAGCCAGGTACCAGAGGGGATGGCTGGCACAAATGCACTGGGTCTCCGGGCGAGAAGGGAAGCTGACCACAGAAGCCAGCAGAGGGACAGCTGAGGAGCATTTTGACAACAACCTGCCCTCTTCCACATTCTGCCTGGGCTGGCCCTGCATGTGCCTGGGAAAGAGCACCATCAGAGCTGACTATAAACAGCGGGGTTGCATTCAGTAAGCCCTGTCTCACCTGAGCAGCCTTTGGAGGCCATGGGGCTATTTGCCACAGGAGAACACTTCCGGGAATAACAAAAACACTTTCAGAATCTGGTAATGGTGTTTCATCCGACTCCTCAGACGTGCTTGTTGGGAGCCATGCAGGCTGGCTTTACTGAAGCATAAACTTGTTTTGCTTCTTGCTCCTTTTTGCACCTGGAGGATGCTTACTTAACCTTGAGGTATTTGGTGAGAAGGCCAGTTCCTTAGAAGACACAATAAGATAGAGGGCTGTCTGGGTTTTTAGAAGATAGTTTCCTGGGAAACTGACCCTCTAACTTTTCCACTGACCTTCAGGTTTCTAGTAGATAGCTAATGATGTACTTTTAATGAGGTAATGCATATTTATCCCTTCTGTGTTGCATGTACTCTGGAGGTATATAATGGGGAGGAAAAATAAACTCGAGGCTGGTTGCTAAGAATGCTTCCAGTCCTCCCGGACCCTCTTTGTTTCTTTGTCTCTTTATTTCCTTAAACCTCGCCCCCCACTTCAGGTACTGTTCTCTGGAATGCCGAGGCAGGACCCCGGCACATGCTCATCTGGAGGAACCAACAGATGAATAAAATGAAAATGTTTTAAAAAGAATATACTTACAAATTGAGAAATAACCGCCATTTATGGCACACCACTAGAATGTAAGCTGCACGAGGGCAGGGCTCCACAACCTTCTCATTCTACCTCCTTACCTTTCAACACAGTGTAGGGAATCAATAAACACTTGTTGAATGACTGAAGTGCCATGAGTCACATGAGCTTGATGTGTTATATCATTTAGTGGTATTTGTATTCAAGGCATTATTATCTTCATCACTCATTACTATAATGTTTTAATGTTTTTAAAACTTTTTTTTTAAAAGCATTAACTCATTTGAGTATTTACTGGAAGTATTTACATAAACTTTGCCATTTTAAACATTTTTAAATGTAAGTTCAGTGGCATTAAGTGCATTCACATTGTTGTGCAACCTCATCACTTTATCTCCAGGCCTTTTCATCTTTCCAAAATGAAACTCTGTACTCTGAATGGGCTTTTAGACAAGGTCTCCAGGCGACTCATATTGATGTAAAAGTTTGAGAAGCACTGGTAGGGGGCTTCTGGCAGTAGATCTGGAGTAAACTTAATCACAGTTTACTATGTGACAGACCCTGTCCTAAGCATTCTTTATCTCATTTAAGCTTTATCTCACTTAATCCTCCCAGCAACCTTATGAAGTAGGTACTATCATGAACCTCACTCACTTCACATGTGGGGAAACATCAGAGCATTTTATTACAGGTTGCACGGTGGGTAAGGGGTGGGGCTGCAATATCACCCAGCATTTGTGATTCCGGAGCATATATTATCCTCCCTCCTGACCTCCTCTGTGCCCAGGAAGATCCCATCCAGGTACATGCATTTGAGAATATATGCTGAGAAAGGGAAATGCCTGGATATGTAGAGGGAAGACGTAAAATAAGATCCCACTGCAAGTAAATCTTTATTTTCATGGTTTTACGTAACTCGTGCATCGAGTAGAAAGACTTGGAGAATCTGGGACCGCTTTCACAGCATTATTTAATTTTGTCTGCCAGAAACTTTATTCTCTTAACCAAGATTGTTTTTTCCTTTCTTAGGGGTTTCAACTGATCCTATATCTCTTTTCAGAAACTTCAGAACTAAACAGGAAGTTACTGCAGAGAAATTCTATGCTGGGTAGTATGGTGTGGCCAGGCCAGGCCTCCTACCTCAGATGCCAAGGTTTCAACACTCAGCATGACTCACGGTCTGCATTTAAAAACAAAACAAAAAAAACCCACAAAAAACACAATCAGAAATGTGTGAGTACTGACTGAATATTTGATGATATTAAGGAATCAAATGGATTCAGCAAACTACAGAAGGTCTGGCTCAGAATGTGACTCAGTGTCTTTGACTGGTTTTCTCTTGCTCATATCTGAAACTGGGAAGTGTACAAAACCCCAAACCTTTTACAATCAGAAAAGATAAATCTCCTATAAGGAAGGAAAACACATGGAAAATTCCACCGGAAATATCTGAAATTGTCTAACTCTTCTTGTGCAAGCAACTGGGAGGTCGGATGTGGCCAGATGGCCACAATGGGCATACAGCTGGATAAGCCTGTCCTTCTAGGGAGTGAACACACAGAAGGTACCTCTAGTCATTAAATGTTGCTTGAGAACTACATAAACTAAGACCCAGTCTTTTTAATGATTGCTCAGAAGTACTCAATGATCAAGTATCAATGAAGTGAATGGTTCTCAACTCTGGCTGCACAGTGGAATCCATCACTTGCGAAGCTTTTTAAAAATCCCTGTGTCACCACCCACACCTAGAGAGTCTGTCTATGTGTGAATAAATGAACTAGTGTTACTACATAAACGACTATTAGCGCTTGGGTAGTGCTTTATGGGTTTCAGAATCCTCTTTTTTATGGTTCTCCCATTTAAGTCTCATGACACCCCTGGAAAATATTGTTGTTTGATGTCCATTTTACAGATGAGGAAACTGAGGCTTAATGAGATTAGGTGACTTTTCCCCCTACCAAATTCCAAAATCTAATGAATGAACTGTGTTTATTTAACTCTTACTCAGAAGTTTAAAGATTGTGATGGTTCTCATCTGGCTCTAGTTGTGCCCTGAGAAAATTTGTTTGATTGTTTGCTTTGTGAAGTATGTCATTTATTCCTCGCATCTTAATACTGATGTCTAATTTTATTTATTTATTTATTTTATTTATTTATTTTTTAATTGGGGAATTGGGGGGATGGGAACAG